ATTCGGATCCTTCATCCTTAGGTGGTGCTTCTCACAAGTAGCACACTCGTCTGTCGCAGAATGTCCGAATCCAAGGTTAAAGTTATAGCGGAACACAGAATAGTACAACGAATAGCTGATGTCATCATGATTTTGCTGCTGAAATAACTTGTGCATTTTCTTCACACTTAGATCACTGGGTAAGTACTTTTTACCAGGTGCCCCTCTACATCCATAGTGACTTGCCCGGCATGTAAATGTCTGGACATGATCCACGATTTGGGCCTTCTTCAACTTACTCTCTGCAAGTTTACGAGCACCGCCCCTATTTTCTGGTCTTGATGTGGCATGTTTCGCATATTCCTGGCTACTCGAGATACACAGTCTTTGCTTACACCTGAAACGATAAAAACAAACTGAAGTTAAGAAAAGGTATAATCAACAACACACATAGATCTAATTGAATATTAGGCCAACGAGTAACATGCGTAAAAGGACATCACAGTTATGGTAACTGCTGGTTCCAATGGGCCTCACAGTTATTATTACTGAGTTGAAGGGTGAAACTAGGCTACCAGGGTTTGAACCGTGGAACCAGGGCTCACACTGTCGGTCGCCAAATTCGCAATTTGCGATAAAATTACGAAAGTGGCGATTAAATTTTGTTTTTGGCGATAAAGTTTTGGGGTACTGGCGATTCTTTTTTAGAATTGGCAAAAAAAAATCCTTAAAATTCTAATCGTATTTATCCTTGATTAACCATAGCGGTATACTATAAATCAATCAACTTGCTGATAATAGTGATAATCACGAACGTGTCATGAGTAATACTAAACGATTGTCTGGGATTAACGGTTTCAACTGATTGATAATTGCCGATAATAAAGCCTTTATCTTGTCTTTATTCGTCATATTAATTAATCCTAACAAATAGATTAGCGGTAAATATTTGATGTTGCGTGATTAAAACAAAGGGGAGTAATCAAAATGGCCGATCGTTACCCGACAACTCTTTTCAAAGAGAGTTGATAGTTGAATTTTGTTTACTGTATGGGCTTCATACGACATGTATAAATATAACAGCATGGCTAATTGGACATTATTATTTCAAATTATATTATCACCAAGGGTCGAAAACGAAAGAGTGAGTTGAATAGCGACGATTTTGGAGTGAGTAAACTGTCTGCATTTTTTTCGTTACCGCCGCCGAAGTGTTCTAAAAATAACGAAGAGTCTGACGTTGGCTGCTTTAGACGAAATGAAATTGACACTACGATTAATGATTAAGATGCTGATTCTATGACGGTAAACGAAATCAACAATAGGCCTATTGTACACGCGAAACGAAAATTCAAAGAAAACTAGAAATTTGGCAATCCTTGGCTGAGATTTGACGTATACACGCAGAAAATGTTTTGTTCAATATGTGAAAATTCGAAAGTCAGCTATAGTTTTACATCTCTGGGTGTAATGTTCCGAAGAAAGAAAGTATAGACACTCATCTATCTGCCAAAGGTAAGCTGATTTTATATGTTGATGAATTTATGTGAATGATTTTTTATGAGAATATCCTTGACTCAATAACAATCCCGTTATAGAATATCTACGACTCAATAATATCAATCCTGTCAGTGAAGACCAAGTATTAAATATAATGTTTATTTTTCAGGTCCATCTAGCCACAAAGCAGTGGTAATGATTATTTGATTATTTAAAATGGCAATGACATGGCTAAGGCCAGAGAGAAATCGGTGTCCAAATCAAAAGAAGCTATATTATCAGCCATGAGAAATGTCCTGTTCATGATTTAAGAATGCACAAGAAATAAAATTGTTTTATGCTGTTAAAATATGTGTTTTTTTTTTTATTATATATTTTTGGCGGATAAATATTCAAGTTGGCGGAAAAAAAAATATCTTCATTGTTTTACATAAAAATATTAACCCATTTTGGCGGAAAAAAATTGAAAGCCAGAGTGAGCCCTGCGTGGAACTTTTAACACAGCCCTTGGTTTGACCCATGAACCTCCCTATCACTGTGCCGGGTTAGAACATAATTATTGTTAAAATTGCATTATTTAGGAGGTCTCTAATCTGCAACAAACCTGTGCAATAAGTGGAGGCCGACGTGTAGTACATGGCCGACATGGACACGATAAGGGGGTGAGTGCAGTGTATGTGAGGGGGGGGTGTGTAAAATTAAAAGTTATTATGGATATTTGGTCCATTTAGGGGAACAAACTGATGAATCACTTACCTAGAACTTTCACAAAAGTTGCCTTGCATACAGGTAGCTTGCTTGGGTGATCTCCAGTCAACAGGCTGTACTTGACAGACACATTCCTGTCCTTTCTCGCAGCTACATTTTCTACACGTGGACGACGTAGTTTAGCTTTATCTATCGTCATTAGAACCAGCGGCTGCCAGGCAGGATACGCCCACATTTTCGAGAGATGGATAGAGAACAAGCTAACAAGAAAGTGATCTTTCCTACAATCAAGGGCCATAATTCAGGAAATTACAATTCGATATGCGCAAATATCGAAAGGAACTGAGATCTTTGTGTTATAAACTTACATTTCAAGTTTCAACAAAATTAGATAAAAATTGTGACCTCTATAGGGTCCACAATCTTGATATACCATATTTTTACGCTATAATATAATATAATAATACGTTTTTTTAAATCGGATAAAAATTATGACCTCTATAGGGTCCACAAGCTAAAAATGCGATTTTTTGTACAATCAGGGGCCACAATTCAGGAAGTTACGGTCCGATATGCGCAAATATCGAAAGGAACTGAGATCTTTGTGTTATAAAATTATGACCTCTATAGGGTCCACAAGCTAAAAACGCAATTTTTCGTACAATCAGGGGCCATAATTCAGGAAGTTATGGTCCGGTATGTGCGAATATTGAAAGGAACCGAAATCTTTGGGTTATAAACTTACATTTCAAGTTTCAACAAAATCCGATAAAAATTGTGACCTCAATAGGGTCCACAACCTTGATATACCATATTTTTAAACTATTTGAGAACGAACGGCAGTCATTTCGTCTGCCAATTTTGGGCTGATTTCCACGAAATTCGAACTCAGCCGTCCTTAGGATGTAACGGTGATATAATAATACATTTTTTTTAATCGGATAAAAATCATGACCTCTATAGGGTCCACAAGCTAAAAACTTGATTTTTCGTACAATCAGGGGCCATAATTCAGGAAGTTACTGTCCGAAATGCATGAATTTCGAAAGGAACCGAGATCTTTGGGTTATAAACTTACATTTCAAGTTTCAACAAAATCTGATAAAAATTGTGACCTCAATAGGGTCCACAACCTTGATAGGGTCCACAACCTTGATATAACATATTTTTACGCTATTTTAGAAAGAACGGCAGCCATTTTGTCTGTCAATTTTGGGCCGATTTTCACGAAATTCGAACTCAGTCGTCCTTATGGTGTAACGGTAATATAATAAAACGTTTTTTTAAATCTGATAAAAATTATAACCTCTATAGGGTCCACAAGCTAAAAACGCGATTTTTGGTACAATCAGGGGTCATAATTCAGGAAGTTACGGTCCGATATGTGCGAATATCGAAAGGAACCGAGATCTTTGGATTATCAACTTAGATTTCAAGTTTCAACAAAATCGGATAAAAATTGTGACCTCTATAGTGTCCACAACCTAAAAACGTGATTTTTCGTACAAACAGGACCATAATCCATGAAGTTTCGATCCAATACATGCCAATATCGAAAGGAACAAAGATCTTTAGGAGATAAAAATATATTTCAAGTTTCGTCAAAATCGGATAAGAATTGTGACCTGTAGAGTGTCCAGACGTCCGGACGGACAGGGGCAACGACTATATACGTCCACATGAAAATGTGGGCGTATAAAAAGGAGAGCTTGATCCTGTTTGACTTTGTTCGGTTTTTCGTAGAATAAATTAAAGTTCTGCGTTATATCACCTGGGGTAAGTCGATCTGCATGGCAGGTGTACAGGCAATTATCGGTACTTTCCCTCCGCCAGAATGACGCATTTTCTTCACTTCTTTTCGGTCGTGAGTGTCTTTTGATGGTGTATGTTTCTTGCCCAGAGGAGAAACAAGCACTGGTTCCTCTCTGCCATCTAAATTATTCATTATTTATCATTAATTTCGCTTACAATCATGAGAAAATGTGTTGCTAGTTTCTAACCATGGGCGCCGCCATATTGAAAATATGACGGCCTGTGATTGGTCGAATGGATATATCGCGTTCAGCATAAAATTATTCACGGCTTTTATTGCGTTATGGAAAATAACTGTAGAGTGCAATGCATAGATACATGGCCGATATCGCGTTTAGGAAAAAAATAAATTCGGGACATGTTGCAGCGTACAATGTTGACATATTGATGGTGTTTTTTTTTTACTTTTTAAAATTGGCGTTTATCGCGTTTTGAACCAAACTCTTCAATGATAATGATTGTTTTTAGTAATATGTTGTTACGTTTATTTAATGTCATTGTATATATTTTTGCACTGGTTTGTTTTGTTACTATGATATTGACTAGTTGTTTTAGGTTTATGTACATTATTTTAGTGACATGAAATAGATCCATCATTATCAGACTAAACGTCTGCTACTTATTGCTTGATAGGTATCTAAAACATTGTAAGATTATTTGTAGAAGTTCTTTACAAATAAATAGTTATTAAATTGCAAGTTGTTGTTTGTTTTTGAGCAAGGGAAGATTACCGTTTGGCTAATATCTTAACTGCTCATCCGAAGAGCTTGGTCCATGACTCACCGAAAGTAGTCACTGGAGGATGCTACAATAGACTGCCGGTGAACGTTGGGCTATTATTCAAACCGGCCTGTACATTATACAATGTACATGTACACGTTTTTACAGCAGCATTAAAATTTATTGCGTTTTTCCGCAGTGTTTGGCGATTCTTGTCCCAAACTCTAGGGACGAACTGTATGTTATTTCCAGTTAAAATGGAAAATTAAAATAGTGCTTACCTTTTAACTGTTTAACAGCTTCTAAAGTAGATTCATCAAATTTCACTTTTGATAACTGTTGCTGTTTAAGTTCATTTTCTAATTCAATTTTCCTAAATGCTGTCACCTTGTGTATCATTGTCTGTGGCTGAAAAAAACAAGTATGATGAGCGTAGTACATGTATATCAACCAAAAACAAAGCATGAGTTCATCTCAGCGATCTTGGAATTGTGATATCCGTCAATTACTGTGCAATTGTCCAAAGAACAAGCATGAAAATTTCATGTCTGTCGTACTTGAATTGGCAGAGTCTTTTGCTTTTTTTCGAAGGGTGGCATCCCAAAGAACAACAAAATGAATAGAACTTCTAATGAAGCAAATATTACTAAAATGGTCAATAACAAATGGCAGAGTTGTAGGCTTTATGTTTTTTAGAAAAGAGGCAATATGAAGTTTAAAATAGTCTATGACCAACGCTACACTGTAGGACCAATTATAAGATAGGTTGCCAGGCAACAAAACATACGCCCACAGCAGCTAAATCGTCCGAGCAGTCGACAAGGGTTGTCGCATATTTATTCTTTTGTAGGTAATTAGGGGAATTTAATAGATAATTTCATACAGATGACACTATAATTTTCGTCGTTTGAGGGTTCACAAGGTTCTAAAAACTAAAACAAGGGCCGTAACTCTGGAAGTAATCTACAGAAATTGTTGAAATTCGACAGGCTTTTTCGTTTCACTAATTCAAATAATGCATATAAATTTTATACAGATCGGATGATAACTTTTGTCGTTCGAACGTTCACAAGGTTCAACAAAGTAAAACAAGGGCCATAACTCTAGAAGTAATTGATGGAAATTGCCGACATTCAATAGGCTTCTTTATTTCACTAATTTAAATGACGCATCTGAATTTCATACAGATTTGGTGATAACTTTTGTCATTCAAGCGTTCACAACTTTCAAAAAAGTGAAACAAGGGCTATAACTCTAGATGTAATTAAAAGAAATTTGCTGAAACTCAATAGCCTTGTTAGTTTTACTAATTTAAATGATACATATAAATTTCATACAGATCGGATAATAACTTTTGTCTTAGAGCATTCACAAGGTACAACAAAGTGAAACAAGGGCCTTAGCCCACGGGGTAATTAACGGAAATTGCTGAAATTCAAAAGGCTTCTTCATTTCACTAATTTAAATGATGCATATCAATTTCAAACAGATCGGATGATAACTGTTGTTATTAGAGGGTTCAAAAGATTCAACAAAGTGAAACAAGGGCCATAACTCTAGATGTAATTAACGGAAACTGCTGAAATTCAATAGGCTTCTTTGTTTTACTAATTTAAATGATGCATATAAATTTCATACAGATCGGATAATAGCTTTTGTCGTTTGAGCATTCACAAGGCACAACAAAGTGAAACAAGGGCCTTAGCTCACGGCGTAATTAACGGAAATTGCTGAAATTCAATAGGATTCTTCGTTCACTAATTTAAATGATGCATATCGATTTCAAACAGATCGGATGATAGCTGTTGTTATTAGAGCGTTCAAAAGATTCACAAGGTGCAACAAAGTGAAACAAGGGCCTTAACTCCAGAAGAAATTAACGGAAGTTCTTGAAATTAATTAGGCTTCTTCATCTCACTAATGCAAACAACATATATCAATTTCAAAACAATCAGATGATAAATGTAGTCTGTAGAGTGTTCCCAAGAAATTGTGGACGACGGACATAGCAACGGCAATATACGACCACAGTTCCATGTGGGTGTATAAAAATGATAACTTACCTTAAACTCTGCTAACAGAGTAGTTTGAACAGTTCTTTTAGATGTTTTTTCCTTGGTATCTTTAGCTTCTTTAGATTGCACAGGTTTACTCTCAACTTTAGATGGTTTATAAGTACTTTTAGAACTGCTAGTATTATTCAAGTTTAAATCTAAATTAAAAGATACATCAATACTTAGTGAAATACCAGACTTAAAGATAGGCTGCCTGGAAATGAAACATACACCCACAGCAGCCAAGTTGTTTGAGCAGTTCACAAAGGTTGTCAAGTAGATTGGACAATAAGCTTCTTTGTTTCACTAATTTGAAAAATGCATTAAAATTTCAATCATATTAAATGATTCTAGAGTAATCAAGCGCAATAACTCTGAAAGTTATTATCAGATGCACCAAAATAAATAGTTACTGTCTTTACGGTATAAAGAATAAATATGTAAAGTTCCAAGATGATCCATTCAGAATTGCAGCCTGTAGATGATAAATACAAAAATTGGGCGTGGCTCTGCCCCTGGGGGTTGGATTTGGAACATTATAAATAGGAACCACTCTGTTATTGAAATGATATACTGAATTTGAACAAAATCTGTTAATTATAGCAACCTGTAGAGTATTTACAGATAAAAAAGTGGGTGTGGTACCACACCACTGGGGGTCAGGACATATACCCAAATAAATAGTCGCTATAGTTACAAGACAAAATATGCCAAGTTCCAAGATGATTCATTCTGAATTGGGCATGGCTCTGCCCCTGGGGTTTGGACATGGACCAATATAAATAGGTACAACCCTATGTCTATGATGGATCATTCCGAATTGGATCCAAATCTGTTAATAATTGCAGCCTATATATCATTTACAGAAAAAATATTAACAAAACGTGAGTGTGGCACCGCCCAAAGGTGTATGTGTGTGTGTGTGATTGAGGGGGGCGGGGATCTTGCACCAAAAATAAATAGTTGCCGTCCTTAGGGTATAAGGAATAAGTATACCAAGTACCAAGATAATCCTTTCAGAATTGTGACCTTAAGGCGCTAAATACATAAATTGGGCGTGGCTCAGCCCCTAGGGGGCGGGACATGCACCAAAATCAATAGTTGCCGCCCTCACTAGGGAAAGAAACTGAGCTTACCATCTATAATCTAATACACTATTCAGTTAATAGATTGCCATGCAGAAAGTATTAAATACCATGAAGATTCATCAAAAACCGCCCAGTTTGTGCTACATTATACATTATTATGGGAGATTTTTATAGAGAGTTGGCCATTCTTGCTATAACAGTTCAAAAGTAGACATTGAAAGAAGAACATATTGAAAATTTCAGTCAAATTACTTTATTCTGAACAAAGTTATCATCGTTGTAATATTTGACTAGAAATGGTAGTCAAATATATCTTCACCTTGGCCAATCGTTTGATTGACAGGCGTTAACTCCACCTACATAATCTCGATTATCAAATAACGTTTTCAATGGCTTGAGACGGGGTTGCAGTTCAATTCGTATCACATTTATTTTTACTACAAATTAAAAATAAGACTTTTATTATATAGATAAGAAGCGAAAGTTTGAAAGGAATATACCAAATCAATGAGGCATAATTATAGCCGACTTCTTGTAAGCCTGCGTGTACTCTTGTACTGTAAGGTGACTACGTGACTCCCGAAGCAGACAAATAGGAAACACTACAGTGATCCAATGGGACTGCAATTCAACTGGGGTGATGTTAGCTGCGATGTTTATCAATTTATCTGTAAACGCAAGTGACAAAAGAGCGTATAATACCAACATCCAAACTCTCATTTTAACCACAACTGAACATAATATCAAGGCCGTATAGATTGAACTTTCAAATTGACTGACATGTGGCATCGCTCAACAGCGGCCTCCCTTCGTACACTCTATCATTTAGCCTCGATCTAACTTATGACGTCAACGTAACGGTTAATAATCTCCGCATTGGGCGTCATTTTTGATTTAATCAATCAGTTAAATCCTATTTAAATCCAAGCTGTAGCCGAGCCATCCGTGGGTCTACAGAGTTGATTTTGGGCTTGTTGTTTAAATAAAGATCTAATTTATAATTTCTATAACATCTGAAGCCTAAATTAAGACTTGCAATAATCAGATTTAGCTCTTGCATAATGTATGTTTAACTGAATATGTGTATTAGATTATAGATGGTAAGCACAGTTTCTTTTCTTTTTCCATCAAATCTGAATGATACCCGGTCCCTAGTGCCTTAAGCTATAAGGAATACATATCCAAGTTCCAAGCTGATCCATTCAGAATTGCGGCCTGTATACAAAAGTTAGGTTGCCAGGCAACGAAACATACGCCCACAGCAGCTATATCGTCCGGGCAGTCAACAAGAGTTGTCGCATATTTTTACTTTTTTCAGTAATGAAAATCAGATTAAGAGTAACAACTCATTAATTAATTATCAGAAAACCATTAGAATTTGTTTGGTTTTAATAAAGTTCTGCCCCATGCTAACGTTTAGTTTACGAAACTTTTAACATCATGGATTTAGCTGTTCAAGTCATAAAGATTCATTGAAAATCAATATACTTGTTCATCTCATGGCCTCAAACACTGTGTATAAATTTAAAGTCAATCGGATATTAACTTTAGCCTCCAGAGCGTCCACAAGATTTTTCAAAGTGATCAAGGGCCATACTCTGGCAGTAATTATCGGAAATCGCTCAAAATCAATAGGATTCCTCTTCTCATGACCTTAAACATTGTGTATAAATTTAAAGTCAATCGGATATTAACTTTGACCTCTAGAGCGTCCACAAGATTTTTTGAAGTGATCAAGGGCCATAACTCTGGCAGTAATTATCGAAAATCTCATGACCTTAGTTGATTAGTTGATTTAACTACTTAATCTGCCTTGATTGACTGACTTAATCCTTTGTCGGACAATTCATCAATCTAATCTTAAACAGAAGTCATTGCTTTCCTTTTGTCGGACTATTCATCAATTCAATAAGAATGATTATAAACCTCGTGGTTTCTCATTTGTCGGGCATCTTAATCGCATTGATGTGAGCTGACATCATCTATAATAAACTAATCATAGATGTCACATATCGTAAATGGACAGTCATTTTGTCTACGATATCTTTTACGTCTTTTAAGAATCCATATAGAAATTCTCATCCACAGTGGCACTTTCCCTTGATCTCGAGCGCGGCACGAATATTGCTTAGCATATTATTAGGCAGTGCTTACTATGAAGCCATGTGATGAGTCACGTAGGCTATTAGTCTCTATTATCCAGAAAAATATTCTACGAATATGTTGAAGACTAGGAGTTTCTGGGTGACCGAGACTAGTACGCACCCAGCAAGATAACAAAAAGGGGAGGGGCTACCAATAGCTATATGAGCAGAAATTCTTACGTATTTGTAGGCGTCAATCATTCTGCTGTGTTGCCTATGATGCCTGTCACTCTGTTGTGACTATCAAAGAGTGTTATTCGCTGAAGTTAACTATGCCTGTTTACAAGTGATTTAACTATTTCGGAAGTTCTGCATTCATTTGCTGCCGTATAAACAAAGACATGTAATTCTAAATGAATATTATGGTTGTGAATTTGATGCCGAAGCAGGATCGGCAAGCTTTCATTCAACATATCACGAAAATGCTTAATTTTGTAGGACATTTACTGACATAAATTTGAATGCCGTACGGGAATTAAGTGTGAAAAATAGCGAGGTCACCAATTTTTATTACGTACAGGATTTGAATATTTTGTTGACATGTGATTTTTAATTGTGGTATGAATTGAATACTGTACGGGAATTAAATATGAAAAATAGCGAGGTTCACCTATTTTTAATACGTACAGGATTTGAATATTTTGACATGTGACTTTTAATTGTGGTACGAATTCGTCTGCTTAAATAACGATAAGAGTTATGCCCCTTTATTTTCGGTAAAATGTCCGACAAGTAAAATTTTGAAATCCCATCACTGTTAACCCTTAACCGGTCATTGTCGACTATAGTCACCACAACGTTATACAGCTAAGTGGTCACAGTCGACTAAAATCGACCACAGCAAGAACCTTTTTTATAAGCCTTATTTGAGTATAGTTTCATATTTAATTGATATGGCCACGCATGCGTGTCAGACAGGCTTGTCAAGGGCATTGAGAAAAACATGTCTTTGTTCAACGTTTTTTGACGAAAAACGTAATTTAACGGTGTCGGGAACGTTATCAGCTTATTTTGTGTACGTACGGCATTTTCTGATACTGGCAATTGTTGAAAAATGCTAATATTTTAGATCATCGACTTATGAAAAGCGAACGTTTCATGGAATAAACGAAGACAGTAATTAATTTATTCTAGAATATTACTCGAACTTCAAGATGGTACGTGAATTAAATATGGAAGATTTTCAAAAGGTGTACCTGTCGTTATTTTTCTGGTAATAACATACATTAAAATACGACATTCTTCACAACAAATTACCAAGAATTATTTTTGTTGAAGTCTAGTTATATTAAAGGGAATGGAGCTTATAATTAACCCATATCTTACGAGACCTCAATTGACCCAATTCTGGCCGGTTTGTTTCAAAATAGATTTAGAACCCTGATGCTTACCCATCTCAAACATATTGAAACAGAATGTAGTTTGAGATTATTTTGGGTATAATTCGTGATGTCATCATATCGTGATACGTATCGCGTAGTCGTATCGTCACTACGTATCGTATCGAAAATGAACTGTATCGACACAGCCCTAATTCACCCAAAAACAATATCATAATCCTACGGAAGTTTTATTTTAAAGCAATTTCAAGTATGGTTGTCACGTGACAATTGTGCCGTACGTGTGTCTTATCAACTGACGAATGAATACAAAATTTTGCCAAGTTATGTACAGTAATTAATTTATTCTGGAATATTACTCGAACTTCAAGATGGTAAGTGAATTAAATATGGAAAATTTTCAAAAGGTGTACCTGTCGTTATTTTTGTGGTAATAACATACATTAAAATATGACATTCTCCACAACAAATTACCAAGAATTATTTTTGTTGAAGTCTAGTTATATTAAAGGGAATGGAGCTTATAATTAACCCATATCTTACGAGACCTCAATTGACCCAATTCTGGCCGGTTTGTTTCAAAATGGATTAAGAACCCTGATGCTTACCCATCTCAAACATATTGAAACAGAATGTAGTTTGAGATTATTTTGGGCATAATTCGTGATGTAATCAGATCGCGATACGTATCACGTATCGGGTTGTCGTATCGTCAATACGTATCGTATCAAAAATGAACTGTATCGACACAGCCCTAATTCACCCAAAAACAATAGGGATCATCCTTAGGTAAGGATGTAAACAGTCACTCGGTTAATCGGTCACGGTTCGGTTGCACTGTTGAAGCGGTTCAAAAAATTACTAATCTGTATTCGTTTTCATATGATACCTGACCTTCAAACCCAGGAATGATAGCCACAACATCGTTTTCTTTCACTTAGACCTCATAAATATTTCAAATAGCAATTGTCATTTGTAATAAGTCTCGGGAAGTTGACGTCTTCAAATTCCCCTCAAAGTTTTGACATTTGTATATGTTATTTATAGCACTCACTGCCAAGCATTAATTAGCCTCCACTGATTGACAAATTAATTGTTTTACAGTATTAACCTCATCACTCCACAAAGTCTCAAAATGAAACAAGTATGATGTGATGAAATAATATTAAAATAGAGAGGATATCATAGTAAAATTGTTTATATTATCACTCAAGTGCGCGTGATGCTGTGGGGTCAAAGTTGACATATGGGCAGGGCTGTCGGTAATTTTTCACAGGTGATTAATCAAAAAGTCCAATTTTGCCAAATTTGATTAGCAAATTTAAAAATTGATTAGCAGTTTTTCAGTTTGAACATAAAACACCTAAATAACAAGATATTACTTTAGTTCATAACAAATATGATTAGATTCCATTCTTACTATTCTTAGATTTTTTTAGCACTGCCACAAGTACATGTACTTGTGACAGTTTGTGAATGTGATGTAGACATTTAGTTAGGTCTTATGTCTGAAGCCAATTCTTAACAGTGACTTCCGAAGCCCCAATCATTTTAATTGTTATTTTTTGTTATGTTAGAAATCTTCGTTAGAAAACAATTTCGTCTGCTTTTTATCGTGTATTGCTACTTTTGTTAAATCGGGCACACTTCGATTAACTAGACACACGCGATATTTTATGGGAATTTTTACTTTGATTTATCATTTTACAATACGTTAACATATATTTATTTTTTTATATTTTATTTACAATACGTGGGGGATACACTGGATTTATTTCTTTCAAAATGAATATGATATAATTACTTGATGTCTCGCAACGTGAGTGGTACTACCTGATTCCCTATTTCCGGTTTAATAGTCCTTATTCATATAGTTATGTCCCTGTATTATATAGTACCGTATAATGAATTGTGTCTGGGTAGTTCGAGTAGAAAATGTCACTCGGAGAATTCAGTTTTGTTTATAAAATTTTATTCAACATTTTATACACGTTGAAAGTGTTGAAAAAGCCTTCTAGTCTTCAAATGCGGATTATCGTTGTGTCAATATCCAAAATGACAGGCATATTAATGATTCGCAGTTACTGCGAATCAAAAACTTTAGAGTTTAATTTTTGATTAGCAACGGACAAAATATGTATTGCAAATTGCGCTGCGATACTGGTTGTCGGCAGCCCTGCATATGGGTCACTGGTACCACAGGATACAGCATGGCTTGTGATAGAAAAATGTGTAGTAAATTCTTTGGAATTAGCTGATGCTGAATAATCAAACTTATTTTGTATTTAAAAATCCAATGGTATGATTTCAAATATTGATTTCATAACTTATCTTATGAAGTATGAGCGAAGCTTTTTTTTTTAAAAAAATCAACATGATTTCAATTCAACTGGTCTATACATCATTACGTGACCGGTCAGTGCGCAAGATGGAGAAATGAAACATCAAGAATGAATGGAATTTGTACTGACTGTTAACTTAAAAGTTGTAATAGGCCTACTAATAATTTAGTCTTATTTTGGTGCAACAAATATTTTTGATAGGAAATTTTAATGGGTTAACCGGTTACGGTTGAGTTTTTAACGACCAGTTAACTGGTTAAAAATTTTTTGAACCGTTACATCCTTATTAGGATATAAGGAATAGGTATGCAAAGTTTCAAAAAGATCTGTTAAGAATTGTGGCCTGTAGGCGAAACACAGACACGCTCAAAAATTGGGCGTGGCTCTGTTCCAGGGGGTCGGGCATGCACCAAAAATTATAAAGGTTGTCCGTAGGGCTTAAGGAATAAGAATGAAAAGTTTTCAAGACAAATGATTAAGAATGGCAGCCTGTAGGTGACACACATAAAGAAAATGGGCATAAAGAATAAGTATGCAAAGTTTTAAGATCAGATAAGTTAAGAAATGCGGCCTGTAGACGATAAACAAATAAATACAATAGGCGTGGCTCTGCCCCTGGGAGTCAGGCATGCACCAAAAACAATAGGACTCATACTTAGGGTATAAGGAATAATAATGTAAAGTTTCAAGATGATCAGTTTAGAATTGCGGCCTGTAGGCGAACCACAGACACACATACACACAGACAGGGGCGACATCAATATACGTCCTCATTATGAATGTGGATGTATAAAAATTTAAGAACGATTCTTAAGACAAACAATGACTTACCAAGTACCGATTTTAATTGTGTTATAAATGATGGTTTATAAACATTTCGTTCTTCCCAAATATTTAGTATTCTTAGCACCTTTGGCTTAATAGAAGCCTCTCTGTAATTACAAAATAGAATAAAAAAACATAAAACCATTACATAAGCAATAATATCAAGCACATAATATATATATCTCCAGAAATATTAGCACAACTGTAAAGCTGCACTACTTTGTTTCACGGTAAATGATAAAAAGATAAAAGGTATGCCAACACAAACTGAATTCAACACTTTAACATTTTAAAGTACTTTTCGTCTGTCTTGGGACTATTCATAAATAATGTCATTGTATAAAGATGGACAGTATAGTATATTTATACATATTTACATAGTAACACTGTGGTTTTAATTGGCTATAGTTACCATTGTCATGGTTACATAATATATAGGTAACTAATAGAAAGCATGTACACAGGTGTGTTAATTTGTGGTATATGGGTTCAATTTAGGAACAATGAGTGGAAGATAATCATGAGATAGATTTAAGAAAATTAATGAAGTTAATGGCCAATAAAAACACAACACAATTTATATGGAATACAATCACTGGTTTATACACATATAGCACAATGTTTAGACAAGTATTCTCTTTTTGTTATCAAGTACAAATGATAAATTAGCAAACTAAAAGGTAATATTTATAGTCCTATAAAAAGAAGCCATAAGACTTATGTTGTTACAAACCCAGAGAAAATGATACTGAAATTTCAGTGAATTTCAGTGAAATTTGAAAATTTTGCCCAATCTCACTGAAATGACCAAATTTCACTGAAATCTCACCAAAATTTCACTGAAATAAAAATATATTTTGGTCTATTACTGAAATTTCACTGAAATAAACAAAAATTTTGGTCTATTACTGAAATTTCACTGAAATAAAATATATTCCTCTTCAATAATCAGCTTTTAAATTGTTATCATGCAAAACTAACAACAGCTAAAAGGTTTAAAATGTACATTTAATTCTTACCTTAGTGATTAGTTCAGTTGGAAACCTAAGTTTTAACACATAAACAACTAATAGGGTAATTGATAGGGGGTTAACATATGATCAAAGTGTGAGGAGTCACATGAAGCTAATTAAACAATTAATGTACACAATTGGTGAAGCCCTCTAAGGTAAGAATTAAATGTACATTTTAAACCTTTTAGCTGTTGTTAGTTTTGCATGATAACAATTTAAAAGCTGATTATTGTAGAGGAATATATTGGGGTTAACACAATTATTGGTTATATAAGTAATATAACTATAAGTGGTAATCACTACTTAAGATAATTACAAAATTACTGTATGCAACTAGTAAAATCCTATTCATCAAGATAAATAAACATGTAATAATTGAGATATAGAAGGACTGAAAGAATTGTAATTGAGATATAAGAATAATTGAAAGGTTAAATTTAACTGTATTGTGAAGAATAAAAATTATTATCATTTCTCCATCTTTATCAGTTCATCGTAGGCCCTTGGAATGTATAATCCTGTATCTCTGTTTAATTATGGGCTGTGACGTTTGATTTGGATGGCTTCTATGATTTTCCTCGGTTTCTCCTGGTGTTTGTGGACGGCTAGGGTTTAGATGTTTTTCCATTTGGTTTGTGGCCCAGGTTCTTGGTGATGTGTTCTGCTATTGCGGATACATTGGTTTTGCCTCTAGACTTGTGTTCTGCAATTCGTTTGTCTAGTGGTCTTTTCGTTTCTCCAATGTATGATCTGTCGAAGGAACATCAACTTTGTAGACTATTCATTTGGGTTGAATTGGATTGGTCGGTAGTAGTTTCCCATTTGCCTTGAGTTATCTGTTTTAAGGTGGTAAATGTTGTTCCAATATTCACTGTCTTCAACATTCTGCTAACTTGGTAAGATAGTTTACCATAGAAGGGCAATATCACTCGAATGTCTGGTTTTCCAGGTTTTGGGTTATCTTTATTGTCGGTATGGTTCAGAGTAGTTTTAATAATACGGTTGACAAACTTTAGAGGGTAGTTGTTGAGGGTACAACATTACTGTGAGAGGTGGTCAAGTTCTGCACTGAGGTAATCTGGTTCACATATATTGCGGGCTCTTCGGACTAAGCAGGAAACTGCGGATGCTTTAACATTGGTGGAATGTGTGGAGTTGATGTATTGGTCCGTGTGGGTAGGTTTACGGTACACACTGGTATTGTTGGCATTGTTACCTCTATGGACATGAACATCTAGGAAGGGGAGCGATTGGTCGACCTCTCTCTCCATAGAGAACTTAATCCTTGGGTGCTGGTTGTTGAGGTGGTCAAGAAACACTGCTGGATCCAGAGGTTGCAGTGGATCAATTTCGAGTTGCGTAAAAATATGCAGACATTCCAAAATTGCATTTTTGCCCTCTAAATCTGCGTGACTTAGAGCCTCTCAAAATACTCAATATAGAAGCATGTAAAGTTGTTTTGTGAACAGCCCTATTGTAAGCATCCTTATTACATTGATAGGATGACGTTTTTTTGTCTAATGACGACTGGAGGTTAACGGCATATCTATGGTTGACGGCACAGTCATTTCAATCTTTCACTTCGACAGGACGTAAAGAGAAAACTATCGCTATGAAAGCCAACATTTGATTGGCTGAATGATAACAGTATATCGTGTTCTAGCCAATCCCAAGTCTTGTATGAAATGCGCTTTATTGCTTTCAATAGGATAGCTACATAGGCTTACTGCCATGAACTTATGAATGAAATCAGAGGAAATATAAAAAAAACTACGAAGACTACATGCAGTAGAGGTGTGTAAATGCCGGGTAAAGCACATAAATTGTACAAACTACGACATAGAATAATCTAATTATTCTCATGTCGGGGAAATTTTCTGCGTGTAAATTATGCAGCGAGCGTCAATATTTGCGTTTATTTTTTAAAAAATGCTTGAAATATGCAGTTTTGCGTGACTGCGACCTATGGCTGGATCACCTTTTTCCTCCAGGATGACGAAGGTATCGTCGACCTTACGAAAATAACAAGTAGCTGTTATTGGAAATGATTCCAGGGAACGTTCTTCGAATTGTGTTAAATAGATTTCTGAGATGAGTGGTGATAAGGGACTTCCCATTGGTAGGCCATGGATCTGTTCATTAGTTTCGTCTCCCGTGGTGAAGAAGGTGGAGTTAATGCACATACTGACTATATTTTCTGTTGACAAATTGGTATCCAACGATTCTTCAAGTTTGTTGATTCGTGATCTTAGGGCTTCCATGGCTTCATCCCGTGGCACATTGGTGAATAAGTCAACGATGTCATACGATACAATTTTGCTTGGGTCACTTATATTTTTAATCTTTTCGCAAAACATGGTGGAATCTGTAATGAATGAGGACACGGCCTTGTCTAACGAAGAGAGAAGCTTGCTGAGATGCTGGGAAACATTGTAGAAAACAAGAGTGGCACAGGCATATGGTGGTCATCAGAGTTGGTAAAATTGTTTTTTGGTGATCTGCTCTACTCCTCATATTTCTTATAGTTTACTGTTTAGTTACTTTTCTAGTTTGTTGGTAGTATCCTTTGTTATTCACCTGTACATGTAGGTGGAAGCATCTTGGAGTAGATTGTTAACGGTGGAGTGGTAATCGTTGGTGTCCATAATCACTGTTGATTTCCCTTAGTCAACAGGTATTGAACGGTCTTTTTTAAGGTCTTGTATGGCTCTTCGTTCTTCTTTGTTGATGTTGTTCTGTTTTTGCTGGTTTTCGATTTGGTAATTAAGTTGGCGATTTGGTGTCGCAGAAATTCTACTTTCCCCCAGGTGCAAGTTGCCGTAGACCCGACTCAACATTGGCAATGAAGTCGTCATGGTTTCTGGGTTGCATTGATGGTACAAACTTGAGGCCCTTCGAGAGTATATTTATCTGGTCATCACTAAGTTGTTTGCTGCTGAGGTTCACTAAGGTCTTGGTTAGGAAGTCATTCTTGGAGTATATGTTCTTCCTGAGGTTATTGGTGGTCATTTTACTTTCTTTTAGATGTTCAAATCTTCTCATCTTTAGCAAGATTTGCGGAGCTGTTAATGGTATGAAGAGACTGTTAATCTTTTCCTGTGAATTCATTCTCTAGCTTCTGGTGTAATTGGTAAATCTCGGGAAATAATCGTTGTTTGGTATTTCTGTGGTGCTGTATGCGTTCACGGACCAGAAGTTTACTTGCTTTGTGTAGTATCCTGTTCGCAGCATTAGAGTGCACAGGTGGCTTAAGCTGAAATCCCTCAACTATTACACGTTTTAAAGAATAGGATTTTACTAGTTGCATACAATAACCACGACAACTTCATTGCCAATGTTGAGTCGGGTCTACTGTTCCTGCAACAGATCATACATCGGATTGCAGAACACAAGTCTACAGGCAAAACCAATGTAGCTGCAATAGCAGAACACATCACCAAGAACCAGGGCCACAAACCAGACTGGAACAACGTCTAAACCCTAGCCGTCCACAAACACCAGAAGAAAAAGAGGAAAATCATAGAAGCCATCCAATTCAAACTTCACAGCCCAGAATTAAACAGAGATACAGGATTATACATTCCAAGGGCCTACAATGAACTGATAAAGATGGAGAAATGATAATAGTTATTTATTCTTCACAATACAGTTAAATTTAACCTTTCAATTATTCTTATTTATTAATCTTGATGAATAGGATTTTACTAGTTGCATACAGCAATTTTGTAATTAACTTAGTGAATACCACTAATCTATAACCAATAATTATGTTAACCCCAAAATATTCCTCTATAATAATCAGCTTATAAATTGTTATCATGCAAAACTAACAACAGCTAAAAGGTTTAAAAGGTACATTTAATTCTTACCTTAGAGTGCTTCACCAATTGTGTACATTAATTGTTTAATTAGCTTCATGTGACTCCTCACACTTTGATCATATGTTAACCCCCTATCAATTACCCTATTAGTTGTTTATGTGTTAAAAGTTAGGTTTCCAACTGAACTAATCACTTTGTATTGTAACAACATAAGTCTTATGGCTTCTTTTTATAGGACTATAAATATTACCTTTTAATTTGCTAATTTATCAT